CCACGAACGTATCAACATGGGGATCACGAAAAGTCTGCTCGGAGTTAGGCTCAGGCTGTTGCTGCTGTTGCTCGACCTGCTGACTTGAACCAGAGGTCGATTCGGCCGTATCAGGTAGCGGGTTTTGCCGAATAGACTCAGTCATCGCCCACTTAATTGTAGTGGGAGGAGTAAAACCGTCTGGCATCGCGAAGTTCCTCCTCATCATATCGTCATGATTCACAACACGCTCGTGGAGACTTGACCACCAATCATGGTCAAGAGGCAGGTCGAGAGCGCTTTGGTAACTAGCAGGGGCCTTGGACATGGCGTCCTAGATATCTTCCATAGTAAATTCTTCGAAATCATCTTCGGCTATCTGGGCACCCGTCTGCTGCATAATGGATTCGAAGCAGCGAGTGCCATACTCCTGCACATCTTTAAGATACTATGGCGACTGCTTGAAAGCAACCACCACTTGAGTGCGGTACTCCTCGAGGAAGCGTTGACCAGCAGTGGTATGCCAGACCATCTGCCGCGCTTAAAGAGCAGCCTCATTGACTAGATGCTTTGCTCGCTGCTCAAAAACAATTTTTTCGCGCCCCCGAGCGGCCTTTACTCCTCGAGTGCAGCCTCGAGGACTTTCTTCTCAGCTCGCTCGGCGTCGAGCGCCTCTTCAAAGGACTTTAGGGCCCCCTCGAGCGTCTCCTTCTCTGAGGTGAGGACCCTGGTTTTAGCCGCTTCTTCCTTCACCCTCTTGCGAAGCTCATAGCCGCGACGGACGAGATCGTCCACCCTATTGCGGAGATGCAAGGAGCCTTGCTCGATGGCAGGGATGGATCGGCTCGATGGCGGGGATGGATCGGCTGGCACTAGACAGGGTCTGCTCGATTATGGGAGTCAGCTCGACCATTCCCTAAAGGTGATAACAAAAGAAACAATTAATACGCAAGTGACAACGAGGAACGAGATAAAAAAGATAATTACAAAGTTATAAAGGTTATCTGTGCCAATCATCTAGCGATGCGGTCACCTCGATCGTGGAGAGTGTGACCGTCGTCGGGGTGGTCGGTAGGGAGGTCGATGGCGGGAAGAACACCTTAAGGAAGGATGATACATCCGTGCCGCTGAGCTGGGTCAGCGAGACGGTGGAGAAGCGTGTGACGACTGCGGTCTCCTCGAGACGACGATGCTTATTAGCTCCTTCATTCCCCTCGACAGGGGGACGCTTGAGTTGGCTCTCCTCGAGACGACTCTCCTCGACTAATTTGGCATGAGGAAAAGCAGGTATATGAATGATCGGGGTGCTCGAGCCAAGAGGAGGAGAGTTTGGTTGTAGAGATGGAGGTCGTTCGTCGAGGGGAATGTTGGTTGTGGAAGGTACAGACTGCCCCTCGACGATTGGCTCTTGGATTGAGGCAGTGCGAGGCTCGACCTCCATGGAGGAGGTTGTTTTATCAGGCGGCGGTGAAGCAGAGCGATGAGACGGAGAAGTGGACGAGCCAGCTGGCCTTGAGCTCGACCCCTCAACATCTTTCTTTTTTAGAGGAAATCTCCTCTTAGCCAATGGTAGAACAGACATCTATGCAAAACGAAATCACGAGCAAGTTAACATTACAACAGATAAATCACACGCAAAAATAAAAACAAGAATGCTCAAGCATGGTAGGCAAAAAATACCTGGATCGTCTTTGATGAGGACTAGGTCAAGGGTTTCTTGGGTAGGAGGAGATAGAGATTTGTGAGTAAGGAGGCCGCAAAAGTGTAAGAGGTTATCGTTTTCGAGGAGAGTTTTTGACCCAACGGGCTTGGTGTTCCATACAGCAATCCGTTAGTCGAAGAGGGAGTTTTGAGGAGGAGGTGCAAGCTCACGCTTGAGCTCCCAAGGAGTCGGCGCCCAAGGAAAATCGGGGTTAGGCTCGACGAAGGCACATCGATCTTTCCACTTTGGAACATTAGAAAGGGTGTCAGAGATGAAGTGGACGTCATTGCGGCTCTTAAGGTAGAGCCCTTGAGCATGTTTCGAGGGCGTATAACAGTAATGGAATAAGGCAAGGTCAAGTCGACCTAGACGGATGTGGTAGAGGATAATGAATATGGTTATGAATCGGATAGCGTTACGAGGGAGTTGGTTCAATGGAAGGTCAAACTAGTCGCAAATATCCAGCAGGTCTTGACATAAAGGAAAACAGACACCAAGTTTAAATTGGATCTCGAAAAAGGTATAGCAGTTTTCGGGAGGATTGTCATAAGTGTCCTTAGGGCCAGGAGATACAAAGGCCCAGCCAGCTGGGTGGCCGACCTCATCGACATCTAGCCAGCCGGCTATAAGAGTAGAGGAAGAGGCGCTTTTGGAAGACAAGGCCTTGGTCAATTTTTTCTTCTGCACAGGCTTGGAAGAAGTGGCAGCAGGGCTGGATTCGGTTTTGGATGAACTACGGGGGGTCGAGGAGATGATTTTAGAGAAGACAAAATGGCGAGAAAAGGGAATGTCATCCTCGTCAGCCGGACGAGATGCTTCAGCAGCCTCCTCGACAGCATTAGAAGCCCCAAACGCCAGTCGACGACGGTTAAGGGAAATAGTGTCAAGAGTATCATCGTCTGATTCATCAATCAAACAATGAGGTTGGGGATAAGGAAGAATTGTCGAGTAATCAGAAGGACGAAGAGCACGGAGAGGAACGGCTTGGTAAACTTCTTCGACGGAATTGGAGGGAGAGTGAGGAATGGGTCGGCGAATAGGGGAAGATGACGGGTTGGCCATGTCTTCGCCGGAATGACGGTTAAAAGAAGGACTTTTGAGGTTTTGAAGATGAACAGAGTAGAAAAAGGAGAAAGACTTTGTGAATAGGGCGTGAAGGAAGTTTCGAAAAAGATAACCTGACAAATCGAAAAAATCAAAATCAAAAATTAACAAGGGAAAGTAAATACAAAATCAGAGCGCAGAAAACTTACTCATGGTTGCAGTGAAGAGAAATCGCTGTTAGACTTGAAGACTGTGTGAGGGAGAATCACCGAAAATAAGAAACTTGATTTGCAGAAGGGAAATTAGGGCACAGAGAATTCGTGAAATTTGCAGAGGTGGGAAAAGCCGAAAAATCCTAAGTGTGGATATTTATACGAGTACAGAGAAAATAAGATGAAGAGTTGGTGAAGATAGCCATTAGATTAAAAAGAAATCTAACAACTGGGAGAATTTAAGGGTGTTTAATGGACATGGGATTTTAAAAGGCGCGAATTGCGAGAGGACACGATGATGGTATATCTGACAGAAGGGACGCGTGGCGAAATAAAGCTGGACAACACGTGGCAAGATAAAGTTGTATTAATGGAAAAGGACGGAGCAAAATTAAAGGAAAAACTGAAAGGTGGTCGAAAAATAGAGACAGAACCAGCCAGATGGTCGAGAAGTCGAGGAAACAAAGAGACGAGCACAGACTCACTCTTAGATCGAGTCATTTAGACTCGACCAAAGTGGGAGGGACTAGGTGTTATGGGATATTATATATCTAGAGGAATATACCGGTTCACTAGACTGGCCAAACGAGCCTAATATCGGAAACGCCATGCTGGTCGAGCAATAATGGGTTGAAAGGAAGTGGTTGAGCATTGTAGCGGAGCTGGTCGAGGATCGACCTACTATAGGAGAGCTCATCTGATCGACCACACAGCGAGTGAAGAGCAATCGAGAGCGTGGTGTAAACGCGAGGAAGCGCGTGGTCTTCTTCAGGAATTCCTAAGGAATATTCAAGGGAATAATTACCCTCTGCTCAGAGGGGCACGTGACGAAAGTATATTGGTGCAAAGCGATAGTGGCGATAACTACCTCTGGCACACACACACACACACTGTGTGTGTATGGACGGGCAGATCCGAGCAGTGCTGGGCAGACAGCTCACCAAATCCGGGCAGCTCCTAGGGCAGGTATCTCACTCCTATATATATAGGAGTGAGCCTTTCTTGTTACACACGATTTATCCAAATTTTTACTCTTGAGAATTGAGTGAAACACTTACTGACTTAAGCATCGGAGGTTCTTCACCAGAAAACCCCTCCGGTGTGAGCATGTACACGGCGTTCTACCGTCGAGGAGGAGGAGGACGAGCCGATTTCAAGTCGATCGGAGTGTTTTGTGTTACCAGAGTTAAATAAAAAGCTCAAATGGGGAGAACATCATGCATTGATGCTTTCCTCTTCGACGAACGCGACCTTAAACCAAACAACAGAACACGCAAACTTGTCCACAAGAATAACAACGAAAACAAACAAAGGTGATTTTTTAAAGACTTCTATAACCAAGAACCAGAGCTTTTCAAAGAGATGTAAAAAATATTCTAGTTAATTATGAAAGTATCTACCTTTAAAGATTTATTAGATTTATTTTTTAGATATATTAATTGATAGTAGTTTCGTGACACCACTTGGTTGAACCAAACATTAAAATTGGTCATGACATATGTTGCGGGGTCAAAATTAACGCGTATAATCAATTTTGATTTAATATTTGCAATTTTTTTAGATACATTAATTGATAGTAGTTTCGCCATTAATTTGCTTACTCAGATAATAGCCATTTGTATTTTTTCAGCCAGTCACTTCTATTGGTGACTTTCATAACTGTGGCAACTTGCGACGTGTGAATTAGGTACCGAAATTAAATTGAAATAAAGCTATAGACAAAGTACCCCATGCCGTGCGTATGCTTGTGCGTACAAGAAAGACGCAATTGATTTTGCTAACCACAATTGGACAAACCAAAATTGAAATGTGAATTTAATTTTCCGTGTCCCATTTACCTACTATCATTCATGTGAACAAGATTCACGAAAATATTAACATCATTACACAATTAAACTCGTTGTATTAATAACTAAATTGATACATAACTTCATGATAGTCGTAAGTTCGCATGAATAAAAAATAAACAACATACGGGTAAACATGCTTGAACTAAAACCAATGAGGCAATGAAACATATTTTTTCATGATTACATAATAATTTCAAATGTAGGCATTNAAAAAAAAAAAAAAAAAAAGGAAAAACAAAGGAAAAATACAAGAGAAAAAGGTATTCGCCCTTAAAATGTGACTAAACGATCATATGTGACTATATTGACAATTTTGGGCTGGTTAGTCTTCCTGTGTGGGACAAAACCAATCGTTAGTCGCATACGGCTGACTGATGAACGATACTACCTGCACTCATTTAAATTGTGAATATATTTTCAGCCCTTTCTTAATATATAAATATTCATAAATATTCATGTACTCCTTGTTTTCATAGGAATCTGAAAAGTTGTTTTTATTTTTCCACGCAGTTAAAAACTAAAAAAAAAATAAAAAAAAATTGTACTGTTTGGTGACTAATAGAAGCTAGCACCAATTACGTATTAACCTGAGAGGATTTTGTGAGAAGTTGAAGAAGTGCTTTATTTTGTCCTAAATTCAAACTAAAATTGATGATTAATGTACCTAGATTCATTTATGATCATTTGGTGGTGTCTCGTTATTTTGCCGTGCGGGCTGACTTAGCTGAAGCTGAATTGGTCCGTGCAGCTGCCCGTTAAAAGTTAAACCAAACGGTAAAAAGTCGCTACAGTTTGCTGCACTTAGATCCCTTGTGCCATAAGCCTGATGTCAGGATAATATTATTAATTAGACTTTTGCTAATTACACTAATTAATTGCTAATCCCTGCCTTACCCAATTTACGCGTAATGTATACCTTTTTGTACATATCCGAGTTGTCTTGTTCGATGAGTTTTACCTTCTTGTAGAGCTCCACATTTTCTTGATGAATAAGATTTCCCTGAAAAAAAAAATTAAATAAAAATAGATTCAATGTATCATGTAACAATTCGGGTGATGTTACTTTGGTTGTTTTTTGAGGGCAAATATTCAATTTTGGTCCGTTTATTTATCTAAAGTCCTTTTTTGGTACACTAACTTTCCCCTCATCAATAATAGTATGTTATGTTACAATTTGTATTACTATTGGGACATTATCCCGAAAATGGTTCATTATATTTTGGGATTAATGTCCTAAAAATGATACAAATTGCAACATGACGTATTATTTTTTATGAGCAATGTCCCAAAAATGATTTAAATTGCAACACAACTTACTATTTTTGATCAGGAGTAAGTTAGTGTACAAAGAATAGACTTTAGACAAGTAAACGGACCAAAAATTTTCCTCTTTTTGAGTGCTGTTCGTGTTGTGTTTCAACATTTCATTAGGCATATAAATTCATACATACCTTTCGACTCAGCTCCTGAATTTCTTCGTTTAGTAATTGTTCCTGTAAATAGCCACAACAGACATATCAGACATTAGAAAAAATTAAGGAGAAGAAAAAATGATTACATCGAAAAATAGGAATATATATATATATATATAAATGCGAACCTTTTTCATACGCACGCCTTTCAAGCTTATCTCGAGCTGGTTCTCAAGTGTTTGAAGATCCTTCACACTCAATCCATATAATTCTTCTCCCATTAGTTTCCTAATTTCAATTTACACCTCACATATATCAGATGAATTAATTCATGATGGGAGACAAAATGCAACTACTTTTAACTTTCAATTTTTCCTTCAAAATCTGATTAATTGTAATGTCATGCAATTATTTTGACATCATATGTAAAGCATGACAATACAATTAATTTACCGATGATTTTCTTGCAAATCCTGTAACTGCTGCCTTAAAGTTGCTGCTTCTCTTTGCCAAAACTATCAAATACAAATAATCCAGAATATGAGAAAAATCAAGTGTACAGAGTTTCAAAGCGTGAGTACAAAGGTATGATAATTAAATTTGCTTCAGTACATGTTTGATTAATTTTGCATGTTATAAAACCATAAATTTATTTTCTTCCCCATAAATTGATCCTATAAATATAAAGTGGTTACATATGTGACAACGTGAGTACTATGTTATATATAGTAAATTTTGGATTGCGTGGTAAATTTTGGATTAAATTCCACATTTCTTCTTCCATGTTTTACTGCATTCCAGTGCATATGTACACAAATTGATATCATATCTATTCACATGTGCTTAAACTTTCAAATATATATANTATTATAAAAGGACGAGTGATTTTGTAAAAATAATGATCTGCCTAAAAACCCTAACTTTGACATATTTTTAATGTCAAATTAGTAATACAGTAATATCAATCTTATTTTATATTTTTAATTAACAAATGAACTACTTAAAAAACTCTTACTTTGACTTAATTTTAATGGCAAATTAGTAACACACTAATACTCTTCAAATATTATATTTTTTAGTTAATCACTAATATTTAATGAAATAAATAACGGCGTAACATTGAAAATTATTATGATACACGCCCAAAGTATGACTCAAATAATTCTAAATTTTATTAAAAATGATGGAGATTGAGGTGGTCTTTGAAGAAATTGTTATGATTCTCTTAGCTAAGTAGATGTTGGGAAAAAAAAAATAACTCTTCCACAGAAGTCCACCAAAACAAATTGGTTCTTGTAAACAATATCTACAAAATAATCTTATGTAATATTTAGTCCAAATGTTTTATTATATTATATGTCTAAATGTTGTGCTAACTAAAATGGTAACTCAAAATACTACTATAAAAGGACGAGTGTTTTTGTAAAAGAAAGAACTAACTATTATACCCTTACTTTGGTATATTTTTAATGGCAAATTAGTAATAACATAATATATATTCAATCTTATATTTTTTTTTATTAATAACTAATATTTACCTAAAATTTCCTTTATTTGACATATTTTTAATCTCAAATTAGTAATACACTAATTCTCATTTAATACAATTACATGAACAAAACATTCCTTATCTCTTAAAAATCAACCACAATATTCACACCATTATTCTTCAAGAATTTGGTTTCTTCCACATATCTCCCAAACCATTTTCTTCAATATCTTTTAAAAATCAACTCAACATTAACCCAAACAACAAAGTTTTGAAATGATATTGAATTTTTGTTTTGAATAACGTCCTTATTTTTATTATAATTTTGATGATAAAATCGTAATCATATTTAATGATTTTAATATATAAAATTTATTTAAACAAAAAATTATGCAACAAAAACAACATAATAAATACTTATAAAAGATCTAAATATTCTCAACTATTTGTTTACCTATCTTTTAACAAAACGATAAATCTTGGTAAACATGATAATTTAGTTGAGAGGTGAATTTTATATAATAAATAATTTCCAAGATACATACATAACTTTAATTAAGAGAAGATACCTAAAATATTACCGAAATCATGCACACGTGGAATATATACATAATCTAACAAACTAGAAAAATGGAAGAATTCATTTAACTAGATCATTATTTAAGAAAAATAAACTCTTGTATTTAGAACTAGAATTAGATTGCACCTTAGTTTTATTGAATTGAATTTTGATCCCACAAAAATCGTCATTGTTTAGTGATTTGTATTTTCAAATTTCGGTCGCAAAGCTAATAGAGTTAACGAATCTTCACGTGACCATTAGGTGATTAATATCAAGTTGCGTAATTTTTTAATTATTAAGACTTAATTTATTTAAAATTTTTCATTCAATTATTAATAAAATTTTTCATGACATTTTAACTATTATTATTATTATTATTTTATTTGAGCAATTAATTTTCAAGTTGAGCATTTATAAACGATTATAATTCAAAATTTTATAAATAAAATATTTTATTTATTGATATTATTTAAGATTCTTAAATACTTTTATGATTTTCTCAATAAAATTTAAGAGTTTATTTAACCGTAAGTATCCTATCAAATAAGATAACTATTTCAACAATATTTATTTAATTTTACAAGTTTATTAATAACTATAAGTAAAATATTTAAAATCGATGTTGTTTGTCCTCATATCGACCACAAACTATATAAATATTTTTTTTTCAAAATAACATATAAAAAAAGTAAATTATGTAATAATATGAGATATAATTTTTTGAATAATTATTTTGTAACTTAAACTTCTAATCTACTTAATTTCTTTACGTAAAATAAGATTAGAATAATTTTATGAAATTATATAATACTAAAACCCGGTCTAATTTTTTTGATGTCGAATGGGATATTAGTTGAGCAGCATGATTTTATTTTGATCATACAATTTTCTACGAATTAATTAAGATATCTAAAGAATCGTGATATGCCTATACGCAGAAAATTATTTATTTTTACCAATAATTATATCATATATCACCATTACTCCTCTATTATTAATAACTATAAATAATAAAATTGAAATCCATGATGTTGTCCTCATAACACCCATAAAGTAAAGAAACAGTTTTTTTCTTTCAAAATAACCTATAAAAAGTAATAATTTTTGTAATAGTATGAGAGATTAATTGTTGAATGATTGTTTTGCAATCGAAACTTCTAATCAACCCAATTTCTTTGCTTCAAATAAGGTTAGAATAATTTTATGAAAATGTATAATACTAAAACCCAGCCTATTTATTTTCATGTAATGAATGAGAAAATTGTAATTATATATAGTAAAATAGAACAATGTACAGTTAATTGATATATAATAAGACATATGACCCAAAAGGTTCCATATTTAATTTTATGTATTCTTTAACAAATATAAAAGTTATATATATATATATATATATATGTATGTATGTATACACATATATAAACATATAAAATAACAATATAAAGGAAAAAATATTAAATTCGACAAATAATATTAAAAATCCGTTTAAGTTGTAACACTTATTAATAAATATTAAAAAGTAACAATAAAATGTTATAGTTAATAAATATAAAGATAAAACTTTTAAAACTTGTACTTATCGATGTAAACGAGTTGAGTGACTATTAGAGGAATTAAGAGAGCTAATATTGGCTTTTTGGTGGATTCAATTTCTTAACGCAATTCAGGTGTTATTAAACGCTTGTTAATTTTTTGTTCTTATTAATTCTAAATGTAAGTTTTAGGTGATAGACAATAGTTATTTGTACATTTATCCATCATTATCTTCAAATTAATTAAAAATATATAGTGAATCATGATATGCCTATATATGTTGAAAATTAATTATTTTTACCAAGAATTTATATCGATATAGTACCATTACTCACCTATCTATTAATATGTATTATTACAATAAATCAACTTTATTAAAAAATGTACAAAATATCTTTTTTTAATATTTGATAATAATATTAATTAGAAAATTGTAATTATACATAATATAATATAAAGATGTACAACTATAATAGATATAATAAGACATATGACCAAAAAAAGTTATATACTTAGTATTATGCATTTTTTTTAACAAATTTAAAAGTTAAGAACAATATAAAGTAAGAAAATATTAAATCTAATACATAATATTAAAAATATAATTAAGTTGTAATACTTACTAATACATATGAAAAAAAGTAATAACTAAAAATGTTATAATTAATAAATATAAATATAAAACTTTTAAAACTTGTACATATCGATGTAAACGAGCACGATTGTTACTTTTTTTGTGCTTATTAATTATAGGTGTAAGTTTTATGTTATTGACAATAGTTATTAGTACTTTAATCTATGTAGGTTAGAGATTTTAATTAATTGATTATTGTAAATTTAAATAATTTTTTATTTGTTATTAGCTTTTTTAATATAATATATAAATATTATATTGCATATAATATTAATACTTATTTCCGTTAATATGTAGGAAAAGTAATTCAATTGAGAAATTAATAGGTAATCTCAACATAAAATAACGAGTGACTTGTAAGAAAATTATATGGACTTAAAAGTACATGTTTTAATATATTTTAAGAGAAAAATTATAAACACAATTAATAAATAAAAAAATTACTACATAAACATTTTAATGATTATGAAAGAATACAAAAGTTCCATATTATAATGAAAAATCCAACAGTAAGGTATTCCACAGAAAATACCAACAGATATTTAAGTGGTATAGTTTCTATTGAAAAGATTCACTGGCTATTCCAATGGTGAGTAAATTAAATTACATTAAAATTTTTGTGGATTTAATATCTCAATTACTAATATTTATTTTTGTGTCAATTTATGTTGGATTTTTTTTTTCGGCCATATTTCAACCATTAAAAAATTTGTCACTGAAATTGGGAAAAACAATGAAAGTTCTATTGAAAAACTAGCTGTAGTGGCGAATCCAAAATAATTTCATGTTAAGAGCACTATCTAATTAATACAAAAAGTATTGCATCAAAACAACATAATGTCATTACAATTTATAAAGTATAATTTTCTTAATTTGTGTTTCTTTCTCATATGTATTACTTTTTTTATCACATCAATACAATCACAATAAGTTCAATAATATTAAAAAGAAAAAGCATAGTTTTTCTCAATTTGACATAAAATCATAAAAAAGTAATACATTTTTCAAAATCCTTTTATGAACAAAAATTTTATGTTGTAGTATAGTTGACTCGGCAATATAATAAATGATTGTATAAATTACGAATATATAACTAGAATCTACATACACTTAAAAAAGACTTAAAATATATTATCTAAAATTAGATAAAAATTATGTCGCAAAAGAGAGATAATAAGATATCATCAAGAATAAAAAGAAAAGAGAGAAATAGAGCGTAAAATTGTAAACTTTGATATCATATTTTCTTTAGTTGGGATACCGCATTGATGTTATAATTTTAATAACGTTCTGAGTTGAATTAAATTATAATTGGTTGAGTTGTAAATTAATCATTATTTGTCTTTATTCTTTTAATTTTATTTTCTAGATAGAGGACATGATTAAAATTATGAAAAATATTCCCATAATGTTTGTTAGATATCTTATGCTATTTGTTTTGGGAATGATG